ACTGTGAAAAATACTAGACAAGTTTTAAACAAAATGCGCACGTAAACAACACCTACACACATTAGAAACTTCCATTTCTGATGAAGAAACATTGGTACAAATTTCGACTGGTCTAAAAAGTATGAAATATTTTTGTAAACTGTGTTTGAGTTTCTTGCTGCTTCTTTTTAGCACTGGCCCACATTATTGTCCTAGAGCAGTGGTAGGGTTAAATGGGACGTGTCAAACTGCATAAAATGAATTACTATTTTTATTTGACTGCAAACTATGTAAGAGCCATTTCACACACCTTTTTACAAGATGGCTTTTTTGGAGATATTTCTTCCTAAGGCTGCCAAATCTTTCTTAAACTAATAGTTATTAAAGCCTGCCAGAAAATGCAGTGTCAGTTAAATAATTGCCTCATCGATGCAGACCGCATTCTACCCAATTGTCATAATAATGCTAAACAAAAATAAATTGGCAATGTTTTACCGCCAAATTGGACGACCTACAATTCGAATGTACCTACACGTGAATGCAAATTGTATGCAAATAGAAAATATTCGGTCTTTATTATACACATCCATTAATTTAAAATTCTATACTTATAATAAATCTGTAGAGAGGTCAATTCTGTACATGAAATATATTTTCAAAATAACTATCAGGGGGTGATTAGTGATCGATACTGATGCCAAAAATGCAATCAGTAAAATTTTTGTCTGTCTGTCTGTCTGTCTGTCTGTCTGTCTGTCTGTATGTTCCTTATAGAAACAAAAACTACTTAGGGGGCGCTGTTTAATTTTTCATACAAAATTTTTCGATGACACTTTGAATACGCAACGAAACGAACTCGAAAGTTTTTCCTACTAGAGGTACAGTACCTCTAGTAGGAACGTTGGTACTGAGGAACGTTGGTCCGACGAACCCCACCATCGCTAGTGGTGAATTCACTAGTAACTAGTGGCGGATTTACAGATTTACCACCCTTAGGCTGGGGGGAAGTGTTAGATCTTATTTTACTGGCCTGGCGTATCCGAAATTCGTACTTTGTGTGTAAAAAATAATTATGAACTAAATCTGCCGCCCCAGGCTTCAGCCTACTCAACCTGCTGGTAAATCCGCCACTGCTCGTAAGACAGATACCCGTAGCTTAGTTCGATGAGTTAGAATACTGTATTAGAAATTACCTACTATATTAATATGCTACCTACGAGCAAATTTGACCAGTGGGCTGAGTGTGAGTTTACATCAAAAGCGCTCACTAGTGAGCGTGTTTAAAAAATGTATGAAAATTTTAGTTTTTGAACGTTTCCCGCTAGGGGCGCAGTACAAACCGTCATACATTTAATGTCATTTTTTGACGCGCTCACGTGAGCGCGTTTGATGAAAACTCACACTAGGCCCTCAGAGTAGTTCATTTAGATTTTAAAACACAAAGCTAAGCCTCTCTCTCTTTCTCTTTCAGCCCACTTAGCTGGCAGCATCATGCACAGTCTCAACGTATCGCTGCTCAACCCCGGAGAATGCCAGGCCAAGCTGTCGTCCGACTACCCTCACCTACTGGAACAGTATGACCAGGACAGCTGCGCGTGCGGACAGCCGCTGAACCCTGTCAACAATATCTGCAAGGTATGGAGAAGTCAACATGGAAAGCATTGGGGGAGGCCTATGTTCAGGAGTGGACGTCCTATGGCTGAAATTATGATGATGATGATGGAGAAGTCAAATTCGTAAACAGTAAATAGCAAGCATTGGTTTCAATGCTTGCTTTTTTAAATTTTTTTATGCATCATGTTGGTTATCCAGCTTGTAAATTATTATTTTACTAACTTTTATTCTTCAATACGAATCAAACGAGCCCAAATTCGATGGGGTTGTGTCGTTTTATTGCGAAGTTTCTATGGCCACCTTCCGACTCCATCACCAGATCAGCTCCTATTGTTGTCATCATAATTTCACTGTCACGCGATTTACATGACGTGCATTGCAAAATTACAGCTCAATAGAAAACCGGGAAGAAACACGTACATCATAATTTCCACCAGACTAGTAAAAATTTTCTCTAGATAATAATAATAATAGCGTTCTTAATAATTTGTGCCTAATGGATTTTATTTATTTTACTTTCAGGTTGACATCGGAAGTGCTCTGGCTTGCACCACGGACAACTCGCACTATGTACTGAGAGGATTGTACTCATGGGACTCAGGTTGGCACTTATTTTCATGACAGTAAGGACATAGCACACTTATCAACCTGGAAAGGGATCGTAACCGTACCAACTCGTCAGTAATCTTTGTAAGAAACTCCATACTGCAACGCACACTCCACAACGTATAGTTCCAAAATACTGGACTGTCCTGTCGATGACATTGACAGTGGGGCGCCACCGTCAATACCGGATCGCTGGTTCAGATTTTTGCCATGTTGGAAACCATATAGTTGAACGATGGTAGCGCCCCCCTGTCATTGAGTTTGGTGGGACAGTTCAGCGTGGGTCATCTATAACGTAAACGCCTCGCCTCGCGGTTGACAGCAGCTCGCGAAAGGCGTTACAGTGTTGATGATCCCTTGCAAAGTCGATAAGTCTGCTATGACCGTAAAAGATAATCATCCATTCTTAAATAAAAAGTGCTTAAATAATAATAATAATGCTTTGTTAATCTAATGACGAACTTCAAAGGAGTGCCATAAAATATAATTGCTTTGACATTTGACATGTAAATTTATCAACAAGCCTGCCTTTGTATTGTCAGATAAATTAAAAAACGTGACAGAAGATTGTATCTTTTGAACATTGGATCCGGATTCAAAATGTATTTTCTATTTTAATGCCAAAGTATAAGACTAAGTCTAAGTATAAAAAACAAAAGCTAGCCCAAAAAAAGTAAGAGCACCTGCTAATGATGTCACGTTTTCCAAGGTTTGTGTGGAGATTATACTTTTAATGATAGACGAGAGTATGTAAGAGTTGTAAGCTCACAACGTATTTTCTAACAAAGCAGCAACAGCCACAGCTTGTGATCCAATAATAGTTATCCACCCACCCAATTGAAATCAAAATTACAGTGCAATAACCTCCTAACCCTTAATTTTCAATTTGCAGGCTGTCAGACCGGCAACCAAATCGCTGCATTCTACAAATTCGACCTCGAATGGTACGAATGGGCGATCGGCCTGATCGAAAGCACCCGCTTCGCGAAATTCGCCATCGGCTCCAAAGTTACCCAGAACCGCTTCTCCAGTCAAATCAAGGGCAGCAGCAGCCAGTTCGGAGGCAGCAGCCAATACAACAGTGGTGTTAAAGGAGTCACGTCAAGCGGAATCAAGGGTGGTGTTAAAGGTGCCGGTTTCCAGGAACAAACTGGTGGATTGATTGCTGGAGCATTCCAAGGATCTTCGGCCACCGCCTCAGCGACCACCGGATCANTTAAAGCTTAGTTACAACAGGATATTGCAAAATTCCAACGGGAACGGGAGTTAGCGGGAAAAAACATTTGTATGAAAAAATCTAAACCGCGTAAGATAGATGAAGGGGGTAAAACGGGATCAACGCGTACGAAGTCGCGGGCGGCCGCTAGTCGAATAATAAGTGCTTATTGGACTTAATATTTTATTTTTAATGTCTCTACATTTCTTTTCTTTTTGTTAGGGTACCACTAGCGCCATCTCTTGTTGGAATCTAAAATTATTAGTTCAACTACTCGCTACTAGATGGCGTTAATTGGTCAAGTGTTATTTTTAACTCAATTAAAATTGAAATGTATCAATTTACGACACTAATACCATTTAAATGTTATTTAACATCATCAATCATAAATATTCATTAGTATAACATAAAACTGTCAAAAGTAGATTAGAATTGGCGAGGTTACGGATTCAATAAATTTTGCAACGCCATTTTTAATATTGGCCTCGCAATAAAAGGTCATAAGTTGGAATATTTTAATTCATTTTGTTATACAACTAGATTAATAGATATAGTCATCTTTTTTGCCTTCCCATCGTTTGAATTTTGAATAAATTTGCTATTAAATAATATTACTCTATTACCATTTTAATCGACCAATAGATCACGAAAGCACTACAACGACCACACCCATTTATTTTTGATATAATAATAATATTTATTTCCTACTTTTTGTTTACTTGACCTTTTATCACAAAATATTTGAATGAGAGAATTTCGTTCTTCACAGCTCATAAAAAGTACGTCAATTGATTGAAAGATAAATGACTCGAGAACTGAGGAACGTTGGTCCGAACCCCACCATCGCTAGTGGTGAATTCACTCGTAACTAGAGGCGGATTTACAGATTTACCACCCTTAGGCTGGGGGGGAGTGTTAGATCTTATTTTACTGGCCTGGCGTATCCGAAATTCGTACTTTGTGTGTAAAAAATAATTATGAACTAAATCTGCCGCCCTAGGCTTCAGCCTACTCAGCCTGCTGGTAAATCCGCCACTGCTCGTAAGACAGATACTCGTAGCTTAGTTCGATGAGTTAACGGTAATACCGCATTAGAAATTACCTACTATACTAATACAGGGTGTTGATTTCAATCATCGCCATATTTATTTAGGTGATCTATTATGACTTATATTAATTTAAACGCATTATACATAAAAAAAATTACCAACGAAAGTGGAATTTTTAGCGAATATTTTCCGTGCGTCATCAACTGTATTGTGGCTCGCAATACTGCACCATACGTTTACACTACAGCTACGCGGATCGCTCGCTTATCATGTTAGATAACCTACGAAGGAAGCCACGGTAAAGTATGTAGTCTAAATAGGTATTTTTCTTTGACGAACTAAAGTTGAAGTTCGTTTTAAATTTTTTTCGAAGTCAATTTTTTTACTGATTCGTGATCAGAATAAGCTACTTAATCAAATCCCTAAAAATGGCGAGGATTGAAATCAGCACCCTGTATACTACGAGCAAATCTGACCAGAGCAGTTCATGTAGATTTTAAAACATAAAGCTAAGCCCGTCTCTCTTTCTCTTCCAGCCCACTTAGCTGGCAGCATCATGCACAGCCTCAACGTGTCGCTGCTCAACCCCGGAGAATGCCAGGCCAAGCTGTCGTCCGACTACCCTCACTTACTGGAACAGTATGACCAGGACAGCTGCGCGTGCGGACAGCCGTTGAACCCTGTCAACAATATCTGCAAGGTATGGAGAAGTCAAATTTGTAAACAGTAAATTAATTTTTTTTAATGCATCATGTTGGTTAGTCAGCTAATAAATTATTATTAATTTTAACTTTTATTCTTCAATACGAATCAAACGAGCCCAAGTTCATTGGGGTTGTGTCGTTTTATTGCGGAATTCCTATGGCCACTCGATTCAGTCGGAAGTTGATGGAGTCGGAAGCGACTTCATCAACAGATCAGCTCCTATTATTGTCATTATAATATTTCACTGTCACGCGATTTACATGACGTGCATGCAAAATGCAGCTCAATAGAAAACCGGGAAGAATTACGCACCTCTATAATTTCCATCAGACTAGTTATTTATTTATTTATTTGATCACCAACAAGGTTACATTATAGCGTTCACAAAAGTAACATAAAATAAAGACACTTGTTAAATGCAAACTTAATTAAAGGAGAAAACAACATGCTTTAGAGACTAAAGCAACAGCAATTAGGGGTTAAATAACTGAAAATATTTAATATGGTGTAAAGAAGTCCTTATGCTTGTTCAAATCGGTGAGATTTGTCCAACCATGTGGACTTGTATTTACGTAAACTAAAGAAAAAGTTCTAATAAAAATGTTCTCCAGATAATAATAGCGTTCTTAATTTTGTGCCTAATGGATTTTATTTATTTTACTTACAGGTTGACATCGGAAGTGCGTTGGCTTGCACCACGGACAACTCGCACTACGTACTGAGGGGATTGTACTCATGGGACTCAGGTTAGCACTTATTTTGTTTAAAAAGGACGTAGCACACTTATCAACCTGGAAAGGGATCGTAACCGTACCAACTCGTCAGTAATCTTTGTAAGAAACTCCATACTGCAACGCACACTCCACAACGTAACGTAAACGCCTCGCCTCGCGGTTGACAGCAGCTCGCGAAAGGCGTTACAGTGTTGATGATCCCTTGCAAAGTCGATAAGTCTGCTATTATGACCGTAAAAGATAATCTTCCATTCTTAAATAAAAAGTGCTTAAATAATAATAATGCTTTGTTAATCTAATGACGAACTTCAAAGGAGTGCCATAAAATATAATTGCTTTGACATTTGACATGTAAATTTATCAACAAGCCTGCCTTTGTATTGTCAGATAAATTAAAAAACGTGACAGAAGATTGTATCTTTTGAACATTGGATCCGGATTCAAAATGTATTTTCTATTTTAATGCCAAAGTATAAGACTAAGACTAAGTATAAAAAACAAAGGCTAGACCAAAAAAAGTAAGAGCACCTGCTAATGATGTCACGTTTTCCAAGATTTGTGTGGAGATTATACTTTTAATGATAGACGAGAGATATGTAAGAGTTGTAAGCTCACAACGTACCTATTTTCTAACATATCAGCAACAGCCACAGCTTGTGATCTAATAATAGTTATCCACCCACCCAATTGAAATCAAAATTACAGTGCAAGAACCTCCTAACCCTTTATTTTCAATTTGCAGGCTGTCAAACCGGCAACCAAATCGCTGCATTCTACAAATTCGACCTCGAATGGTACGAATGGGCGATCGGCCTGATCGAGAGCACCCGCTTCGCGAAATTCGCCATCGGCTTTAAAGTAACCCAGAACCGCTTCTCCAGTCAAATCAAGGGCAGCAGCAGCCAGTTCGGAGGCAACAGCCAATACAACAGCGGTGTTAAGGGAGTCACATCAAGCGGGATCAAGGGTGGCGTTAAAGGTGCCGGTTTCCAGGAACAAACTGGTGGATTGATCGCTGGAGCATTCCAAGGATCGTCAGCCACCGCCTCAGCGACCACCGGCTCATCAGGAACAGGTTTCGGATCTGGAATATCCGGATCAGGATTCGGCAACGGAGCCGGTTTCGGATCCGGCGCAGGCTTCGAAGGCTCAGCCATTAAAGGCGGATTCGGCACAGGCCAGTTCGGCTTCAGCCAGTTCGGCTCCANTGAAACTTGTGTGCAAATCTTTGGTCTTCTAAGTCAGCGCCATCTAGTTTGTCTATAAAGTGTTACTAAAGCATGCTTTAATAATACTTCAGCTATTCACCGCTAGATGGTGTTAAATAGGATAGAACTATTATTACTTCTTGCCGCTAGATGGTGCTAGTAATAATTTAATCTTGTATTTGTCTAAAAATTTTCATACGCATGGTTCCCAAATATTTGGTGGCCTTCATTTTTGGTTAAATATTAATTATAACAGATTGATGATTAATGTATGTGCAGTTTCCTGGAAAGATGAGCGGCCTTCACTCACACGTCAGAGTTTAATATTATTTATTATTATTCCATTAATATAGAAAACTGCTAATTTGGTTACATATTTTTACCCGGTCTATGTGATTCATATTACATTCCACGTAATACTGAATAACTGCGTATTCTATAACCTTAGTTTTTAGACATTCCTAGGTCGATGACCAGTAATAGGTATTTTTTACAATATTGTATAATATAGTGCTTGGGTTTTTGAATTACTTAGTAGAATTTTATTTGTTATTCTAAAACTAGCTGACCCCTGTACCGCCTATCTATACAGGGTGTTAGGTAAATGGGTATATGAGCCGACACTAGCCCATGTTAACATGGGCATATAAATGGTATGGTGAAGTCAGAAATTTGATATCATCATTTTATTTTTTTAAATTTTCATACAAAATACATTTTATAAAATCCGATTTATATGAAAATTAAAATGAAGATATCAATTTTCTGACTTCACCATACCATTTATATGCCCATGTTAACATGGGCTAGTGTCGGCTCATATACCCATTTACCTAACACCCTGTATAGATAGGCGGTACAGGGGTCAGCTAGTTTTAGAATAACAAATAAAATTCTACTAAGTAATTCAAAAACCCAAGCACTATATTATACAATATTGTAAAAAATACCTATTACTGGTCATCGACCTAGGAATGTCTAAAAACTAAGGTTATAGAATACGCAGTTATTCAGTATTACGTGGAATGTAATATGAATCACATAGACCGGGTAAAAATATGTAACCAAATTAGCAGTTTTCTATATTAATGGAATAATAATAAATAATATTAAACTCTGACGTGTGAGTGAAGGCCGCTCATCTTTCCAGGAAACTGCACATACATTAATCATCAATCTGTTATAATTAATATTTAACCAAAAATGAAGGCCACCAAATATTTGGGAACCATGCGTATGAAAATTTTTAGACAAATACAAGATTAAATTATTACTAGCACCATCTAGCGGCAAGAAGTAATAATAGTTCTATCCTATTTAACACCATCTAGCGGTGAATAGCTGAAGTATTATTAAAGCATGCTTTAGTAACACTTTATAGACAAACTAGATGGCGCTGACTTAGAAGACCAAAGATTTGCAGACAAGTTTGAAACAATTATTGACTTCTTACTTTATGTTACTTTGAATAAGTTTTAATTATCAACGAAAGCCAAGCTTTAATAAATCTACATCAATTTTAAAAACATACTACGTCAGCTGCTATGTCTGTCACTCAAAATCCTCTGTCAAGATTTTTATGCGTTTCTTCTATAATTCAACTCTTTTGTGACCGTAAAAACTCAAAATGAAGAGGCACAACAACACATTCAACCCTAAAGCCAAGATCCACATCTATACTCCATCATCTAGCAGTGATGATCAGTGGGGGAGCCTGCAGACTGATCAGGAGCATGCGAGGATCCGTTCCAACATGTCTCCGCTCACTTCTGATACGTCCACTTCTGTGTCTTTCACTTCGCTGTCTTCTTCTATAACCAGGTGAGAAGAAACGTACCTTCCAAGCTACACAAACTCTTTGGTACCCACTGCACAAGCACATCATCAACATTTCAGCCATAGGACCTCTGTCGTCCACTACTGAACATATTTAGGCCTCCCCCAATGATTTCCGCAATGACCGGTTGGTGGTGGCCTGCATCCAGCGCCTTCCTCTGACCCTACCTTTATGAGGTACCCTCAATTATAACCAGAAGCAAGTGGAGGATTTGGCCTCAGTCTCTTCTACCCTCATACCTTCTCTAATATCATAATGTAAAGTAACTCTGTCTCCTACTTTTTCACGCCTAGCTAACAACGCTAACACTCAGGGAGTCAGGGGCGTAGTTAAGTAAGTACCTACTTACCGCATCCGTGTCAATGATACGGGGCCCCTGAAATACAGTGGATTCTTTTTGGATAGGAAGAGTAGGCTCGGCTTTTAATTAAAAGGGTCACCTTGATCCAATGACCTTTTTAGATGGGGCCCCTAACAAATTTTGACACAGGGCCTGTCTACGCCTACGCCACTGAACTTCTTGGTATAAAGTGGATTGGGCCCTGGAAACAGGCAAGCTGTATATTTAGATCAGATAGGAGCTATTGAAACGCCCAAGTTCTTCAGGATACCTAGTTATATTACAAAAATGGCTCTTTACATTGCAAAGGTCGGTAGCGGAATGAGACTGACAGTTGGTTTCAATAATTAACTATGCAAACTACTTAAGCTAATTTATAGTTGATGTTACACGGAGGAAGAATTGTGGTAAAAGTTTGCGTAGGCGTTACGCGCCGAAACACAATAATTTTTTGTCATAATAACGAAAATTAAAGGGGATGAAATAGGGGATGAAAGTTTATAATGGAGAATCCGTAATTTAATACCATCGTTTTCGACGGGAGAATCAAGATATTCTTCGTATTTCCTTCTCAGATTCCGAACTGACTTCGACGAGTTAAAATGCAAGATGAGGATATTCGGGGAATCCCTGAATTTATGCCGTTGCATCGCCAGCGACTTCAAGAACAAGCTGCTAGCTATGGAACGAAGATTGGAGTACCTGGAGAGACGGCAGAAGATGGAGCGGGTAGGTCTGAAGGTTATATTGTTTCGAGTTATATTGTTACCCTTTTATCTTTCTTTCTAAACAGTTCCTCCCCAGTGATAGAGCCCATAAGCAAATTACTTAAGCAATTGCATAGAGCAGGGTTTCCTAAACTATGGGTCGCAAACCAGTGGTGGATCGCAAACGAACATTGAGTGGGCCCTGCCTATAGAACGATACACCACGCTACCGATCCAACCGCTGGGCAGCGGAAGAAATTTCCTATAGATGGGTCCCGAGTTTAGGAACTTGCATTAGATGAGTCGTAGCCCAGACAACTTTGGGAACCACTGGCTTAGGTAATCACGTTTTGGGAGGCACCAAAAGCAGCGACAAAAAATTACTATTACATTAAAAATATACGCGAATTTAATTCAAAAACGCTTAGATTTTTACCAGAATTTTAGCACAGATGTTCCTCCCGCCACTTTGGGGAAAATCTTTAAAATCCCGCCTAAAACTTGACCTTCATTTGTTTATTTTATTGGCGGTCAAGCTGTAGATCCTGGCTACACAGGAGTTGCAGCGGTGGGAATAGTCGTGTACCTACCTAGTTATTTCCCAATAACTTTCTTTGTCTTCTTTGTAAAGATTAGTTTAAGTCTTTTTAGCCAGGTCAGGTGGGTTCGATTGAATAGAATAAGTAGAAACAACCATACTCTTCCCATGGATGTCATGACCTAATTATCGTAGTTTTGTTTGTACTTTATACTCTGCTTTGCTCTGGATGGATTTCTCAGCTTCCATCATCTCCTATTAGTGTTTTGAATATTTATGTTGCTGGTCCAATTACTGTTTTCTTTCGTCTGGAAAAACTTGGTTTAGAAGTAACATCAGATCGGTAGGTAGAGTTTCAACTAGACCTACTTACATTTGAAATGTTAACAGTCTATCATCCGATCTTCACATTAAGTAACAATTTATTGTTAGGGGCAATGTCCTTGATAAATATAACAATAATAATATTATCTTTGATTGTAGAACTAAATAAATAAGTATGTTAGAACAATCGTTCTAGGAACTGATAAAATGGATCTGTTATTGCAAATGAAAATAATAATTATAATATTAACGGACTCTTACAAATTGTCATTTGATTGAAAAAAACCGGCCAAGTGCGAGTCGGGCTCGCGCACAAAGGGTTCCGTAGCAGCAAATATAATAAACTTATTATGTCAATTTAATCAACCTATCTCAAAAACTATAAGAGATACTTTGATCAAACCAAAAATCGTTGAAAGAGTTAATTAGCATGCATCACCTCTATTTTTTTTAGAATTTTATACCCCGTAGTTATAAAAATAGAGGGGGGGGGACATACTTTTTACGACTTTGAGAGCTGATATCTCAAAAACCGTTCACTTTAAGAAAAATGTTTTTTAGAAAACTTTATATCATTTTAAAAGACCTTTCCATTGATACCCCACACGGGTATGTACATCGAAAAAAAATTTTCATCCCTCAGTTACATGTATGGGGGGCCCCACCCCCAATTCTTTTTTTTACTATTTAGTGTCATAATTTTGTAGCGGTTCATACAACACATATTCCCATCAAATTTCATCACTGTAGTACTTATAGTTTCCGAGTAAATCGGCTGTGACAGACGGACAGACGGACAGACGGACAGACGGACAGACGGACAGGCTAACTCCCGTTCCCGTGGGAATTTTGCAATATCCTGTTGTAACTAAGCTTTGAGTTTACTAAGGTACCTGCATGCCAAATTTCAAGCGTCTAACTTAAGCGGTTTAGATTTTTCATACAAATGTTTTTTCCCGCTAACTCCCGTTCCCGTGGGAATTTTGCAATATCCTGTTGTAACTAAGCTTTAAGTTTACTAAGGTACCTGCATGCCAAATTTCAAGCGTCTAACTTAAGCAGTTTAGATTTTTCATACAAAAGGATTTTCCCGCTAATTTCCGTGCCCGTGGGAATTCCTAAGTATCCTATAACCTGCCCAGGAGTACGAAGAATAATTGTACCAAGTTTCGTTAAAATCCGTCAAGTAGTTTTTGTTTCTATAAGGAACATACAGACAGACAGACAGACAGACAGACAAAAATTTTACTGATTGCATTTTTGGCATCAGTATCGATCACTAATCACCCCCTGATAGTTATTTTGAAAATAT